GGGAGTCTGCTTCTCCCTCTGACCCTCCTCCCTCTCATGCTCTCTGTCTCTCATTCTCTATGTCTCAAATAAATAAATAAAATCTTTAAAAAAAAAAAAAATGCAGTTGAACAAACCATCCCATAATCTTGAAAATATACCAATACCGTAAATGCAAATTATGCAAATGAAGGGAAAAAACCTCCCAAAGCTATACGCTACAGAGCCCCTGCTGTGTGTGATGAGGACGGGAAGGTGTGGCCTGACCTTCAAAGCGAGGTACCTGTGGGAAGCCGACCAGCACGAGCAGGGTGAAGATGTTGGTGTGCTTCAGCTGGAAAGGCAGCTGCTTGACACAGTGGTCTGTGAAGGTGGCGATGACATCTCGCCACAGTGGGGCACCGCTGAGCGACCGCAGGATCTCCGCCATGGAGCACGCCCAGTCCAAGCCCACCCGGCTGGAAGGCAAGAGCTCCATTAGGCGGCAGGGCTCCACACGAACTCGGCAGAGCTTGCTCGCTACGCTCCAAGGCACCCGCGGCAGCGCCCGAGGGCCACTCACCCACTAGTTTAAAAACTATCAGAATGAAGCCTCTGTTACCTCTACACTCAGTACACAGTTAGGTTTTTAAAAACATCTCTGTAGAGAGTCACACACGCGTGCGCACTTGTGCATGCTCGCGTCTACACACAGAAAAAACAACTTGGAAGCAAATGTATGAAAACAGCACCACGTGCATTAAGATGGTGCAGCCGGGGTGGGGGGTGGGGGCGCCTGGGTGGCTCGGTCGGTTGAGCATCCAACTCCTGATTTTGCCTCAGGACATGGTCCTGGGGTTGTGGGATAGCCCCACGTCAGGCTGCACGCTCAGCGCGGAGTCTGCTTGTCCCTCTCCCATCTCCCACTTACACACTCTCGCTCTCTCTCAAATAAATAAAATCTTTAAAAAAAAAAAAGATGATGCAGCTAGGGTGATTTTTTTCTCCATTTTTGTTTTCCAAATTTGGTATCCTGATTATGTTACTTTATAACAAAAATAGACCTGTTTTCTTCAATCCTAAAGCCTACGCTTATTGCTGCCAGGAAAGAAAAAAAAAAACCCCACACTATGTATCATCAGAAAGTTCAATCAGCAGATAGCACCCAGACTGCACAGCTGTTTTAATGTGGGTTTTCTTTCTTTTGTTGTTTTTTAACTTTTTTTTTTTTAATTTACTTATTTGACAGAGAGAGACACAGCGAGAGCGGGAACGCAAGCAGGGGGAGTTGGGAGAGGGAGAAGCAGGCTTCCCACTAAGCAGGGAGCCCGATGCGGGGCTCGATCCCAGGACCCCGGGATCATGACCTGAGCCGAAGGCAGTCGCCCAACGACTGAGCCACCCAGGTGCCCCAAATGTGGGTTTTAAGTACAATTTTAATGTCAGTTGACACCTTTTCTAGTAAAATGAATTCTATTCTCACAAGAGACGCTTAGACAACAGCACACTGAAATCAATCACCAGCCAGACCAGGGACTTAAGGAAATGAACACCAAGGTGGGACAGAGTGCGGGGGCTACCTGTCCAGACACACAGCTCCCAGGCTGAAGAGCAGGTGGGTGGTCTTCCAGCCATCGGGCACAACGGAACTGTCCCCTGATGCAAACAAGGTGTGCTTGGCGGAGAGGACCTTCACCACCGCAGCATCCACCTCTGCTGGTAAAAGGCGGGTGATTAACTGGCCGAGAAGACCCAGTGTGAGGTGGTAGGTCTCGTTCAGGTGGCCTGCGTTGGAGATGACAACCTGAAACATGAGTGGGAGGACGTGCTCCAGGTGCATCACGGGCACTGTGGGGTCCTGCCGAGAGAGGGAGAAATGCCTGTTCAACACGGGATCCACGTAGCCACACCAACTCAATGCTGCGTCCGTTCACGTCTTAGTTACAACTGGCCAGCGCCGAAGGGCCCATGCAGTGTCCTTCACCAACAGCTACGCCCAATCAGACATCCTCAGGCATCATCCTCTGACCCTACTTCTAACTGATTATGCTTCTCTCAGGGACACACACGTGACTATGAACAGGTGGTTTCAGTAGACGGATTTCCAAAAAAACACATTTTTCCATATATACCACCACCCCTCTTCCAAAAAAGAAAACGCCATTTGTCTCTTACCAACTTTAAGGGAGGTAACATGGCTGCTAGTAATCCCAAAATCCTCTTCTGGGAACACTCAGCAAACACCTGCTCAGGGCTGGGAGTAACCCGTTTTTCCTCGATGGGCTCCTGAGACAACACGACTATGTTTTCAGCATCTGAGATGTAAAACATCACGCTTTCAGATTTCGCCAGCTTCTACGCACGTACAGATAGGCAAGTAAAGCGTCGCATGGTCCCCGTGCTGCCAGAGGACACACCTGGGACGTTGCTGAACCCATCCTGCTCAAGGAGGCCTACCCTGACCACCCGAGGTAAACGCAGAGCACCCCCTCTGCACTCACCCATCCCCTGACCCTGCTCTTTGGTGCTCAGGCCACCTTCACCCTTTAACATAGCCAATCATTGATATTTATTATTTCTACCCCCTTCTAGGTGCTCGGTTATCACAAGCGCCTAGAACTAGAGCACAGCAGGTGCCCAGTGAGCACTCGAGGAAGGAACGAACCACATGTGGACCAGGACGCCGGTGCTGATGCAGACCAGAGTGGACAGGCACTGACTGGGGTACCAGACTATCGTCCGGAAGGTAGGATTACGTGCAGTGCGCAGATGGCCATCAGCCTCTTCTGAGAGCTGGCCGCACACACGGGGCAGGACGCCAGGTGCTCAGCCCTGCCTCCATCACGGAGCAGGCAGCTGGGACGGACGCTGCCTCCCCGGCTGCCCCAACGAGGAGGCTCTTCAGCCCATAGCACCTCCACCTTCAAGCCCGTCAATCTCCTTGACACACAGCTCTGAACGCGCCGCTGCTATCCCCGGACAGGCAGCTCGGGGCCTCCACGGCAGAGCGACTCAGCACCCCCCAGGGCTCTGTCCCTGCGTGCCTGCCAACGGGACTCTCCCCTGCGTTCGCCTGCGGGTTTCCCACTCTGGGGTCTTCGCTCATGCTGTTCTTTCTGCCCAGAAAGCCCTTCCCCAGAGCGGATCCTAGCGCAGCTAAGGTCCCTCGCAGCCCAACCTTTACAAGGCTTTCTGTGGATGCAGTCTGTTCCGGTTGGAGACACCCGTCACCACCAGCACCCACCCACCCCTCTCTGCGGACAGCGCCGCATTCCCCCTCAGACTGCAGTTACCTGGACCTTGGTCTACACCCCCCCAGAATGCAAGCTCCGTGAGGGCAGGAGCTCTGTGTCTGTCTGTCTGACCTGGTCCCTGTCGCGCCCCCACCGTCTAGCTCGGTGCTGGGCACACAGCAGGCGCTCAGGAAATTAGGGAAGAACGAGGCAGGAAAGCAGGCAGAGTGAAGGAAAGGTGACTTTCAAAGTGTGATCGCTACCATCCGATACAAAACTGAGAAACCGTGAGCCCTCGGCTGCTAGCCAACTTCAAGTTATGTGCAACACATAGCTCAGGGATTGGTCTGTGTGCGCGTTCAGATAAAAGAGATCAAGGTGATGACCAAAGAGTCTCTACCTGGATGCCCTGGAGGTGTGCTACCATCTGCAGGTGAGTCTGAAATTTGAGTCTGGCACGAAGGACCCTTCAGAGCTGATGCACCTTCTTCGTCTGCCTTACTTCTCTGCTTGCTGTCTAAAGGTCCGACTTCCTTAGGACCACCTCTCTTGCCCTGAAAACGAAATGTAAAGGAATTAAGGTTTCTTCTAACAAAAGTTGGCTCATTAATGCTGTGACATAGTATTTAAAATCATTAGCCAGTCTTTACAGACTAAAATACTTTTGAATTCCCCAAGAAAATGTCCCTCATTTCTGTGACAAATCTATGCTCTAATTAAGACAGTACTCACTGCATCCCATCTCCCAAACATCTCCCAAATGCCCCTGCGTCAGAGACCGCAGTCTCATAAGCCATGGCCCCACTACAAACCTCTAATATGTTCTATTTAGCCTTTAGAAGCCACGTACAGAAAGTTCTTCTCTCGGGAAGAAGACAAAAAGGTGTGGAATTCTTTCTAGCACAATGAGCTGGCTTACACCTTTGAGAATTTTATTTTGGCAAGGAGCCTTGTTAAGGGGGCTCTCGCTGGAGTGGGGAGGCTTTCCTGGGCTCAAGAGTCGGGCAGTAAGCTGCCCAGATTGGCAGGATGCTTGGCCTGCGCTTCCTTAGGCCTTTTTCCTTGGGCCAGGGAAAGCCTCTAAGATGAGCCCAAAACCTCCTTCTGCAACAAAAATTAAGGAAGCGCTCAGAGAAAAAGGAGTATCAGAAGGACACCGAAGCCAGGTGGGAGGAGCTTCCACTGGCCAAACACTGGACAATTTCAGCATCAAAATACACACTGAAAAGTAGTAGATTTTAAAGATTTTACTTTTAAGTAAGCTCTATGCCAACATAGAGCTTGTGAGCTCCAACTCACAACCCCGAGATCAAGAGTCACACGCTCTACAGACTGAGCCAGCCAGGAGCCCCGAAAAGCAATCAATTTTAATCCATGGAATAAAACAAATTCACCCAGGTCACTCTGGTATGAACTGATGGTAAGTGGACGCATAGGGAGCAGAGTGCTCACGGGTGCAGAGACGCTAGGAGCTCAGAGGAAGACACAACTGTTCCAGACTCAGGGGTGAAGACTGCCCCTGCTGACAATGTCCTCTCTGCCCAGCACCATCTGTGGGGGGCTCAAGTGCCGCCCGGACGAGGGGTTTTGTGGTCAGAAATGTTGGCGTCCCGGAGACCAGGCTGAAGCTGACGTGGTCTGTCTGGTGCTGCCTCTCTGGCTGAGTGAAGCTGACAGAATCCTCAGGTTTTCACCAGCCATCTTTGCTTTTGCCTCGCTCTAAAGGGCAATGGGGTCTCGGTGAGTACAACCACCAAACGGGGGATCCCTGAACTAGTGAATGTGACAGAGACGGAGGACAGAAACGCCCACTGCTCCCCAGGCCAAGTCAGGGGCGCTCACAGCACCTGAGACCTCAAGCTCCGGAGGCAGCATCGCAGAAGCTACGCTGTGCTCTCCCACAAAACTAACTTTAAGACTGCGGTCACAGGCTACCCCCAGATCCAGGAGGCTTCCCTCCTACTTACACAGGAGCGTGCAAACTACCGTATCTGTTCGGTAAACAGAAAGCACTGAGGATTACCCGTCGGCTCACTAGGAGAATAGCTTCGCGGCGCCTGGGTGGCTCAGTCCGTTAAGCGTCTGGCTCTAGGTTTTGGCTCAGGTCATGATCTCAGGGTCGTGAGATCGAGCCTCACGTCGGGCTCTGCGCTGGGCGTGGAGTCTGCCTGAGGTTCCGTCTCCCCCTCCCTCTGATCCCCACCCCCATGGCGCACGCTCTCTCTAAAAAATAAAAGCTTCGCATACACAGCATATACAGTGTTCGCCACGGGCCAGGAACGAATCTCCTTAGGTACACGGTCTTCCTTCCTTGCCATCCCACCAGAAGGCAGGTAACAGGAACAGTTAACACTGATATGGAACGTACTACGGACACTGTCTTAAGCACTTTACACACATTAGCTGCTGCGTAACGTGTGTAAATCCTCAGAACAGCCTACGAACGGGTATTAGTATTCTCGCCCCATTTCACAGATGGGAAAGTGAAGTGAACAGACGGTGGCAATGTGCCCGGGGCCCGACAGAGCAGGGGCTAGAACCCAGGATCTGCCCTGCCCCCACCTGCAAACGGCTCCCCGTGTCGACCTGAGAGTCTGCCTACTAATGCACCGTGACGTACCCTGCAGTGCACAGAAGGGCCCGCGTGGGACGGGTCCTCAGCACCCCGGACGGCTCTCTCCTCTGGCGTGCAGGCGGGCACAGCGACCAAAGGGACCCGACTGTCTGGACCAGATTCACCATCTGGCAGTACACCAAGAAGAGCTAGAGCTTTCAGACCTACATGGGGAGCAAATAAGAAAACGGTTAAAAATTTTAGAACGAGGTCATTTCCTGCACATGCCATAAATCACTACGTGGAAGGAGATGGCTGGGTTCTCCACAAACCAAACCGAAGCTCACCCAGCATGAACCTCCTTGGCTATTCACATCTACTTGGCCCCTGACGTCAGGCACCAAAAGTCTGAGCAGTGAGGAATGCGTGTACTTTATTAGCACAGAAGACAGAGACACAAGAGGACGGTCCACTTAGAAAATCATAAACAAGACAATTCCACTGTAGCCCCACGCAACTAGATGTCTACGTCCCCACTGCCAAGCTCGGGAACGCTGGTACTGCCCACGCGCTGCCCAACACAGGCCTGATGGCCCCACCATATCCTAGAACAGGGAGTCCCGTAATCTGAGCGGGATTCAAACACCTCCAAAGTGTAACATGCACGTTACATCCCCTCAGTGCCCCTCAGTCAAGTCAAAGTCGTTGAGGTATTTTGTCAGTCAAACGACTTCAATTACAAACAGCTCTCATCTAGGACGCAGTTACGTGGAAGAGATCTGCACTCCAGGTTAAAAACAACATTCCTTGGGGCGCCTGGGTGGCTCAGTCGGTTGAGCGACTGCCTTCGTCTCAGGTCACGATCCTGGGGCCCTGGGATCGAGCCCCAAATCGGGCTCCCTGCGCAGCGGGAAACCTGCTTCTCCAACTCCCTCTGCCCCTCACTCGTGCTCTCTCTCTCTGTCACTCTATCTCAAATAAATTAAAAAAAAAAAAAATCTTTAAAAAAATACATTGATCAATCTCTGGTGAGACACTCTAGGAAACAAACAAGAGAAGACACAAAGTACCAAATTCAGGAATGAGAGAAAGCAGCTGCTACTCCATGCCAGATGAAGAGAAATTAGAGATCTCAATTTATTTCCTAAATAAAGAGAGACATATACAGTGCTCATGGGTCATGTTAAGATGTCACTTCTCCCCAGATATACAGACTCAATGGTTCCTCGATAGAAACTGACAAGCTGATTCTAAAATTTATACAGGAAGGCAAAGGAACTAGACTAGCCAAAACAATGCTGCCAAAAGAATAACAAAGTTGGAGAACCTGATTTGGAGACTTAGCATAAATCTATAATGGTGAAGAGAATGTGGTCTTCGAGTAAGGACAAATACATAGATTAATGGACTATAACAGAACTCATAAACAGACACACACACACACGTGGGTCAACTAATCTCCAACGAAGGTGCCAGGATAATTCAATGGAGAACCAGTCTGTTCAAGAAATGGTCCTGAAACAACTGGATGTTAATATGCAAAAACGAAAAAAGACAAAAAAGGAAAAAGAACAAGAACCTTGACCGTTACCTCACCCCACACACAAAAGTAGCACAGATGGTGCCCAGCACTGAAGCTGAATAAGACAGCAGATTATTTCAGAAGCAGAACTGGGCACATACGGTTACATACTCCAGGCTGTTTTGGGGCTGGCAAATTAAGTCAAAGGTCACTTATGATATACTTTCACTGTTCTACTGATCAAGCAAAATTGTCACCACAATTACTCAAAGACGTTTTACACTCCTGTAGCTGTCTGACTCCACTGTATATTTAAATTACCCATTAGAAAACAAATCACCAGCCAATGACAACATTAAATATTCAGACCCTAAATGTGTCCCCCCAGAACCCTGGAGCCACATATACAAAACGACAGCACAGCTAAGGTCTTCCAATTTACCCTTATTCAACCACATCACTTCAGAGATGAGGAAAAAGCAGCTCAGGGAGTTATAATTTGCTTTTTAAAATATCACATGCAGGGGCAAGAACCAGGGTATTTTCATTTATTTCAGGGTATTGCAGAGATTTGACAGCTTCCCTCCATTCTTAGAAAAATAATTAGGCTTGGGACCTGTTTTCCTTTTCCGGGTTTTGACATCGACGATCACAGCCCTGTTCTTCTCCGTGAAGTGCTTTAAGATGATTACATTATGTGGCTCATTGGCGTTATCCATATACACACAGCGGGTCCCCACGCAGAGGACCTAGAACATGACAGAGACCAAGAAGGCAAGTCAGGAGCACACAGACACAGGAACGGGCCCTTCAGCAGACACAAGTCCAGTCCTCTCCGCTTGTGCCCCGGACTTCAACAGGTACGCAAGGACGGGCACTCCTGAGTCGAGGGCCCGGTGCAGAGGTGGTTTACATGCTTGCTGGATGAAGCCATGTTTCATAGTCCTCTTTGTCCCAACCAATTGTGAGACATGAAGATTAGAAATGAGATCAAGGGCGCCTGGGTGGCTCAGTTGGTTAAACGACTGCCTTCGGCTCAGGTCACGATCCTGGAGTCCCGGGATCGAGTCCCGCATCGGGCTCCCT